CTCGAACTCACAGAGATCCGCCTGCCTCTGCCTCCCAAGTGCTGGGATTAAAGGCATGCGCCACCATTGCCCGGCTGATTATAACTTTTTATTTAGCTGTACTCTATTATTTTTTTTTTCTGAAATAGTTCGTGGAGAAAAGTTACAAATCACCAAATTTATTAAATGAATTAAGAGCACAGTGAGTCCTCTAGAATAGGTCCCTGCCTGAAAAGGACAACGGAGGGTGGGGGATTTAAAGACAGAGGCTGCAGTCATGTCACACCTGCTGCAGGCTGGAAGGTCTTTACAATGTTACCTTTGATCTTGCCTAAACATGAGCTAAATAAGGACAACAGGAATAGTCATGCCACAATGAGTGGAGAGAGCCCAGGACACCTCAACCCTAAACAAAAACTGCATACAAACACCTATGCAATTCTGAGATTAAAAGCAATAGTGCTCCACAGGGAAGAGCACCTCAATTGTTTTTTTGATAAAAATGATCAGTCATGAAAACAATAACACAAATAACATTCTGCAGACTGAGCATGACATATTTAGGAATCCATATGCATTAATGAATATACATATGCACACTTAGGAATATCTATATTCACATATACTTACTTACATATGAATTTGCATACATATATACATACACATACACACATATATATATGAGTATAACAGCATTTAGTAGAAAAATAGTCCATTAATTAGAAAAGAACAAAGAAAGCTATCTGGGAATGTTTAAGGGAGGAAAGGAAAGGACCACATGTTGAAATTATAATCACATCAAAAAATTGGAAAATTAAAAATATGCATCTAAAATAGAAATACCATGTAGGATAGCTTATTGCTCTAATCCCAGCACCATAACATTAGGTCAGTATATGTTGGAGGTCAGCCTGGTCCACATTTTGAGACATTCCTCAACACACACACACACACACACACACACATATGTATATAAGTGAGATAATAAATGATAAAAATCTAGAGGAAAAGTTATTAAAAAACCTACTACACATGGTGGAGATATGATACGTGAAAACAATATATGTCTTAGAAAGTGAGGGAAAATATTAACAATTTCTTCTAATCTACTCCACTGTAGCAATCTTCTTTTCTCTTGATAACAGCAAATACATGTTTAACTTGGCTTACGTTCATTAATCACATTCTGATTTATAATATCATTTACTTTAATTGTCCCAGTAGATCCTGTCTGCTCTGCGTTCAAAAACAGTTTACTTGGTCCTTGCAAATATGTTGACCATGAGGAATTGGTGGCTCTCTATCTTGATTCTCTCCGGGAAGGACATAGATTCTATTCAAGGCCTTTGTCCTTCTGGATTCAGGTCTCAGTACTTCTGAGACCATACAGTCAATTTTGTCCCCTTTTCTGTATGGGGAAAAATGCTTGTATAAACAAGTGGATGATATCAATCCACTTTAAAACACTTTAAAAGTGTTCTAAGAAAATTAAATGCAAATCATTACTGAATCTTACCCCACAAAGTTCCTAGTACCTGATATGGAAAAACTAGTAGATTCTTTGTTTCTTTAATGCCAACATCTTAACTGGGGCATTCTGGTTTAAGGAATGACATTAAAATTCCCAGACTTCTGAGACATGAAGCCATGCAGATCACACTTAACCTCTCCCAGGCCTTTCATTCTATCTGCAGCCCAGAGAGAGAGAGAGCAGTGTCTCATGAACTTCAACCCCTATTCCTGTGTGCCAGTTCTGCACATTACAGCTCCAATCTGGTCTTCAAATCTGGATATTGTAAGAAAAGAGTTTTAGTGACCATGATCATCCCAAAATAATCATTCTGAAAATGGGCACTTGTATTATTTTACCCAGAGGCTGGAAATCTCATGAACATTTAGAGAGAACAGAATAATAAGCAAATTTTGAGCAACTTGTAGAAATTCCAGATCAGTTTTAGAATTTCTTTGCCTACTCTTGGCTTTAGGTAGGTTTGAGGTTGAATTTGGTTAAGAAAGAGAAAAGATGTGGTAGTGATTTGCTGAATAAAAGCACAGAGGGCATTCTGCTATCAATAAGGCATCTGGTATGGGAAAGCCTATTTACAAAGAACACAGACTGCTGGTGTTCAGTCTCAAGTGTGTGCGTGTGTGTGTGTTTGTGTGTGTGTGTGTGTGTGTGTGTGTGTGTGTGTGTGATGAGCTGATGCTACTTCCTTAATACTTCATGGATATATACTGTTATAATGTAAAGGGACTGCCATCTTCACTTTGGTGTGGTCAGTCCCTCCTCTTTGTTCTGTATTCCCTAACTTCTGTTGTTTGTGATTACTTAACCTATTGCATGACGGCAGAGGCCTTCACATTTTATGCAGAGCATTCTCTCTGTCTGACTCTATCCCTGTCTTCTACATCTCATTCTCTCCCCCTCACTTCTCTTCCCTCCCCTGTCTTTGTCACTCTCTCTGTCCCCTTTCCTCCCCACTTCTGCCTTTTCTTTGCCTCTCCCTCTTCCCTTCTTGCTCTAAAATCCTTCTACCTCCTAAATGTATTTTGAAGCCTGAGAACAGGTTCATCAGAGCTTAAAAGAAAAGAGTTCAGTGAATTGAGAGAAGGCAAACTGTAAATCTTGGCAGCTGCCCAGAGGAGGAGATGGAAGATAGGAAAGAAAAGAAGACATGTCTGATTAAGATAAGTCAGCATGGATTCCATTGCATGGTGAATGTGGGAGTTTGACTGAGAATGTTCCCATAGGTTCTGGCATTAGCCCTCTTGACCCAAAGTTAGTGGTGCTATTTGGATAAGTTTAGGAAGTGTGCTATTGTGGACTACTAAGTCATTTCAGGTAAGCTTTAAACTTACAAAGCCCTGTACCTCACTCATCTTTAACTTGACATTTGAGATGTGAGCCCTGGATTTCTGATCCTATTCTTTGCCTGTGACTTCCTTATCCTATTGTAAAAGACTGCTTGTTCATTTCCCACCTGCAAAAAAACTCCTAAAATAATCACACTGTATTATTTAAACAGTATTAATTAAATTGCTGCTTGGCCAGTCACCATAGCATTTTTCCAGCAAGCTCATAAATACTAAATTGACCGATTTCTATTATTTTATATATCTTTCCATGAGGCTTGTGGCCTACTAGTGAGGTTCCAGTTGGCAACTCGCACCATTCCCCTAGAGTGGCTCAATGATGTCTCCATAATCCACCTTCTTTCTCCAAGTATTCAGTTTAGGTCTACTAAACTAGCTCTACTCTTTTGCCCTATCATAGGCCAAGGCAGTTTCTTCATTATTCAATGGTATTCACAGCATGCATAGGGGAATCCCACATAATTATCCTTTTGGAACTATAATTTTCCTATGAACTCTGCTTTCTATGAGTTGTCTTTGTCGTGGGGTTTTATCAAAGGAATAGAAAAGTAACTAATACAGTGTACAATCAGTAATGTTATAGGGTGGTGAGCCTTAGAGGAATAGTGAAGAAACAAAAAAAATACAAGAAAAAGGCAGGCTCTGGGCTCTAGTCACCATGCAAAGAAATAACCAAAAGGGGAAAAAATATGCTATTCTAAATAAGAACTGAGAGGTGGGCAAAACCACCAGAACCTCCTATCGCCAAGCAGGACTGACTGTTCGGGGTTTTTGATCTAACAGAACCTTTTAGCAGCCCATAGGGCCTGATGTAGGATTATCCTCAACAAGTTGGGTTTTAATGATTTTTTTAGGAAAGCAAATATAATTCTTCTAGCTTTCTCATTAAAATCATATTCAAAAGAATTATTAGCTGATATTCTCGGAATACATTCCTTGAATGGGAATTTTGTGGAGTTTTGCTTGCTTGTTTTTTGGCTGTTTGGTTTTTGTCTTCCTTTCATGTTATCTTATAATTTCATTCGTTATTTGAAGTTGTAATAAGAAGCTGTTAGTGTGTTGCCAGCCGCTCTCTGCTTGTTCGTTTCTCGGCCAACCAGACTCCCTAAATAACCACACAAAATCTGTATTAATTAAATCACTGCTTGGTCAATTACTTAAGCATATTGCTAGCTAGCTCTTACATCAATAATTAACTCGTCTCTATTATGTTATATTTTACCATGAGGCTTATGACCTACTGGCAAGTTTCCAGTATATCTGTCTTCGCAGGCAACTCCACAGTTTCTCTCTGACTCCGCCTCCCTTCTCCCAGCATTTAGTTTAGTTTTCCACACCTAGCTCTGTTCTTTCTTATCACAGGCCCCAAACAACTTCTTTATTAACCAATGGTATTCACAGCATACAGAGTGGAATCACACATCATTAAGCCTAACATGAGACTTTAAATATAGTCTCAGTGCAGAAAAAAGGAGGCCTCAATGAAAATATAGAAAGATTATATGCAAGAATTTTTACAGAGACTAAACCATATGGTGGTAATTTTATCCTTCCTTTAAAATATCTGGGAAAGCTTACGAAGTAAAGAGGAGTGTCAGGAGCAATATGGTAAAGTTCATGTACATTTAAAGACAATGTGCTGTCATTGTGGCTGTTTCAATTATTTTGTCATGAATTTAGGAGGCCCTAACACACTGCCTCTTAAATGTTATTGCACTCTACTTCTTAGGAATTTGCTGGAGTTAAAAGAAAAACAGATCATGAGAAAAAAACACCCTTTTACAATAAAAAGACATTATTGTGAACTTTGGTGAGTAACAGTGAGAGCTTTCAATCCAGTTCTCCAACTTCAAAGGAGAATGTTCTCACTGCCTCAGCTCTATACACATGAGATTTAATTTTATATAATCTTTACTTTTACGTAGGAGTACACTCAATACAAACCCTGCCTTTCCCCTCTTTCAGAAGGAGCTCAAGTTAAATTGCTAGACTTACACTGTATTTTCTTGAGTAATAAGAGCAAAATATCCAATGAGTGTCATACCTAAGAACTTCAGATATTCCTACTCAAAACCATAGGTTAGACTTGGTAGCAAGAGAAGATAACAATTCCTATCCTGCTTCTTCATTTCTCTGTGTCACTGTGTTCACCCATTTTGTACTCCAGTGCTATAAGCTAAACCACAGAAATAGTCAGCTTCATCTTCAGACTGGATGTTGAAGATGCTTAAGTAGCGGTGAGTCCCAGAGCCGGGGCCAGAGAAGCAATCAGGGATCCCATCTCCCTTGTTATGATATCCATTACTGTTAACATACATCAGATACTTAGGAGCCTTGTCTGAATGTTGCTGGTACCAATAAATGGTGTTGGTGCTGTAGTCACTACTCAAGGTGCAGGTGAGTTTGACTGAGGCTCCCAGGGAGGCTGAGGCTGTGGGTGACTGAGTCAGCATAGGTTCGAAGAAAGACCCTGAAAATAGAGAGACACATTATATCCTTGGATGAGAGAAAAGTGGAACATATCAGGAAGTCAAATGGATTCCGTAACTGCATCAGGATGTAGATGACTCTCCTGACCTGTATAGTGAACGAGGAAGAAGAGGAGAGGGTCCAAGCCATGGTGCAGATACCACTGAGCTCTGCTGATACAGACATGGTGTGGGTCTGTTTTCTCCTTTAAAAATTTTCAGAGAACCAACAGGGCCCTTCATGCAAATTTTTCTTGGCCAACCAAATCCCTGCTTAGGTGTTTGTGTCATCAAATCTCTGTGTGTCACTTTATGCTTGAGGATAACCAAGGAATCACAGTGGCCCCTGTTGCTTATCCTGTTGAGTCCTGAGAAGACACTAAGAGATAAATGTGTTCTCAGTTGAGTTTCCAAATTCTTCAGTGAATGCTACAGATCTACACTGACCAGATTTAGGTGTATCGTGTCTGTTTCAAGGAGGCTTTTCCATGGCTTTGACTACTAAGTACTTTCTGATCAAGGTCAGAAGAATCTGCCTCCTCTGAGGATGACATCTCTTCAGTGGGAACACTATGTAGACCAGTAGTTCTCAACATGTGGGTCACGACCCACACAGTGGTCATATATCAAAGATCCTGTTGATCAGGTATTTATATTATGGTAAATAACAGTAGGAAAGTTAAAGTTAAGAAATAGCAACAAATAATTTTATGGTTGTGGTAACAACATAATGACAAACTGTATTAAGGAGTTAACAAGTTTGAGAACCAATGTTGTTGACTTTAATTTATAAAGATCTCTTTATTCAGGATCTTTTCATACTCATGCTGAGGACAGATAAATTTATTACATGAGCCTCTTATCGGAATGCTCAAGAGGCCAGACTCATTCTCTCTAATTGGTTCCTCAGTATATTTACCCATAGAGACACACTGGTTAATATTGGTGTCTAGGATGATAAATATATTGCATGACTCACCACATGCAGTATAAATTTATAAAATTGAAAATGGCAATAAAAAACAGTTATAAAGAAAAAAGCGTTGGTGAATGAACACATTTGCCTGTAATTGTACTTAAGTAAGGATTAGGGACAACTGATGAAGAATGAATGTGTGTGATGGTTTCCAAAACACTCATGGAAATATTCCTACTACTTAACTGATATAAAAATAATATGTTTAACTGACTTAGGGGAGTAGATGATAAGAAAAGGGAACAACTCTAAATTGGAGAGAAGAATTAATGAATCATGATAGAAGTCATAGGAGAGATTGGACAAAAGCAGGAGGAATGTCAGGACCATGAGGGTTTATTCATATATACTTTAAATTATGCATAGTTAAAGATTGTGTACCTGAGCTGTCTTTCTCAAGCCCCTATTCACTAGGCTCAGGAAATATGCAGAAAAGGAAGTGTGTTTAATGATTGTAAGAGCCAAATCTGGTGTATGACTCCAAGGATACAGCATCTTCCAGGCACCGCAAGACTAGTACGTACACACATGAACTCACAGAGACTGAAAGCAAACACACAAGAAAAGGACAGATTCAAACCAGACAAAATGGTATGATGTGGGAGTGTCATATATCAATCTGTTGATTTCATTGGTTAAGTAATAAACACACTGCTTGGCCTCATAGGTTAGAACATAGATGGGAGGAGTAAACAGAATAGAATTCTGGGTGGAAGAGGAAGTGAGGTCAGACTCTGCTCTGCTTCCAGAGGGCTGGAGCACAGACACCATGCTCCACTCTCCCAGGATGGACGGAGGCTAGAATCTTCCTGGTAAGCGCACCTTGGGGTGCTTACAGGCATTATTAGAAATGGGCTAGTCCAGGTGCTAGAATTAGCCTGTAAAGGCTAGAGTTCATGGGCCAATCAGTTCTTAAATGAATACAATTTGTGTGTTGTTATTTCGGGCATGAGCTAGCCAAACTGCCGGGGTGTTGGGGACGCAGCCCCGCTTCTTATTTCAACAATGGTAGACCTGAGAAATAGAAGTGGACAAATAGTCACATCCTTACACCCTTAGCCATGAATTTATTTGTAATCGATACATTTTGGAAAAGAGAGAATCAGTTTTCTCTAGTGGATTGTCACTGAAATATTAAACACACTCTTTAGAGAGCCTCACAGTCGGGAGAAGTTGGATAAGAGTAAACATACTCTATGGCGTGTGTGTGTATGTGTGTGTGTGTATGTCTGTGTTCACTTCTTGTTTGGTTTTGTTATATTTTGATTACTTTTCCTATTTTACTTCATATATTTTGTTTTTGTTCTTGTTGTTGCTTGGTTTTTATACAGATTTTTCTGTTTTTTGCTTTGTTTTGTTTCATTTGAAAGAGAAAAAAACATGAAGTTGTGTTAGTAGAGAGCTGGGAGAATCTAGGAAGTTTTGGTGGAAGGGAAAGAATATGATCAAAATATATGCCTTACAAGTAAATACAGCTAAGAGAGGAATAAAATGATTGAATTCTGGATTTTTTATTCTCTATCAAAATAGTAGACAAATATTTCCACTCTTTTATTCTAAGATACAATGAAGTCTCAGGTCCTGTCTGACTTATTCGTCTGTACTTGGAAGGAGGAGGGAAGACTAAGAAAGAAACAAGAGACAACAGACAGAGTCAGGAGAGCATTTAGTGTATACTGTGATCTGCCTCAAGTTATTATTCAAAGTTCTTATATGCCCCAACCCAAAAAGCGGTTAAGGCAAAAGACTCCTTTGCCATGATACAATGAACAAAGCATTTTCCTCCTCCTCACCTCTCCAAACATCAAGTAACTACATCCTAGATCTAAATATCTTTTTTTCTAGGCAGAATATCCTATAATCGCACCTTAGGTAAAGCAACCTGTCATATAACCTTGAAGGAACAAGAATAGGTCTGAACTCTCTGACCTTTAGTCAAGGTTGAGCAAATTCATTCTGTGGGCCCCAACAATGAAGGAAGATGCTTCCCTTCACCTTCTAGTCTGTGGAGGGTAAAAATTAGGATGGCAATATTGATTGGTCATGGGATCCCACTATCACAGAACTGGGTATATTTCCAGATTCAGGCAAATGTGTGTTTATGTCTTGTTTATCCATCTGTGTCTCACTGTGCTGTGTGTATCACTGTAGTGTAGCATGCAGTAGCCTTCAGCACTGTCTTCAGTCTTGTAACCCAAATGCCAAGCACAAGATCATATTTAAGATAAAAAGTGACAGGAGAGTGTC